GCCTTTTTATTTTAATCTATTATTGTACCATCACTTAGTAGGGGCACAAGGGTCATTTCCCTTCTTATTTTTTTCGCCCTATATATTATAATGAAGCTAGCGCCACCAGCACTGTTCCATTGCCTCAACACTTCTTTCTTCCTTCTCTTCTCCTCTCCTCTCCTCTTCTCTTCTCGTCTCTTTTGCTGTAACCTTCAATCAGATTTACTGTCAAGAAATAGGACACTGAAAGGAACAAAGTTTATAAGAAAATACACAGTAAGAATGGCATCAGACCAAAAGGTTTTAGGAACATGCATACCTAGCACAAGACCTTGCAACCTCCAAGAGGTGAGGGTTCTTCCTTGCACTCCAGTATGTTGGGCATACCCACACAAGTGGTTTTGTGTTCAATCCCATGCTCCAAGAAGTATTTTTGCAGGCCAAAATTCATATATAGATAACTCCCCTCCATTGTCTGAATAAAGAATTTCCAGGGGTTTTCTAAACTGTGTACGAACCCATTTATGAAAAGTTTTGAATATGTCTTGCAGTTCATTTTTGGATTTCATCAAAAAAAAAACCCAAATACATCCGGTACAATCATCAACAAATGTAACAAAATACTGATGGCTAAACAAAGAAGTAGTAGCAATAGGGCCCCAAACATCAAAGTGCTCAAGAAAAAAAGGTACAAAACTCTTATTAGTACTCAGATATGAAACTCTACAATGTTGAGCTTTACATTGCAAATCCAAAGAACTAGACTCAAATAAGTGGAGTAGTATATTCAAGTAAGAGAAAGACACATGACCAAGTCTCCAATGCCAACTAATGACTTGGTCTTTATTACTACTAGTGGTACTGCTTAATCATGTGGACAAGTGAGCTCTTAAGTGATCTTTTACAAGTTAGGAGAGCTGGGGGCAGGACAAAACGACTTGGAACAAAGTAATAAGAAATTATTTAAGCACCCATAATTTAACAATGAATATGACACTGAACAGAAAGGAATGGCAAAACAGGATTCCTATGACCCCATATAGTTGGGACAAGGCTTAGATGATGATGATGAACCATCTGAGTTTAAAATTTCTGAATCTGATTTTTTTTCACTTTTTCTGGTCTGCAACAACGATCAAAAAGAGTTTTATTAAAAAACAAAAAATGTAAAACCCTGATGTGGCTTGGGTGCAAGGGACAGCTAAACAGTACATAATTGACATCACAAAATCAAACAAAAGAAAAACTATCATGGGCTAATAACCAGCCTCATATCTGGAACCCTGGCATGGGGACCTCAATTCTGTTTAATGGAAACCTGATTCTTCTTCCGCCATGCCAAAAGTGCAAAATTGTAGAGAAAAGATGAAAAATATAAATACGAATCTAATGATGACAGCAATGATGAGGGTTCTAAGAGAGCTGAACCTGATGGTGGAACATGCACAATGCTGGGGACCAAAGTGATGACCATGAAGGAAGATCTAACAAGGAAGATGAAAAGACATCCAAGAAGGCTGAATGGGGCAGGAAGATCACAAGGCATAAAAAAGTTGTTCTTGACAAAAGAGACAAAAATGGTCAGACCACAAGACATATGCAGGATATTCTGTGGACAGTCTAGGAAGACAGGAATAAAGAATCTTCAATTGGGAGGCAACGATTTAAGAAAGCAACCATTGAAAGCATTTTGGTCAAAGTGGTACATTGGGTGAAGATATTTAGATATTTTTGTCCCCTTTTCTTCTGATGACATCTTTAGAGGATGTCCCAGCTCAAAAATCAGCTACTCCCAGTGGAGTAGCACTGGGCCAAAACCATGGATCACAGCCCTTGATGTATTGATGTGGCCCCACCTCAAATAGAATGAAGAGACATAAAGTGGGGCCACATCAATGTATTGATGTGGCATCCTCATCAACAGTGCTAGGGAACAATTCAACCTAAAGCCATTAGGTGAGGTCCCTGAATAGGTTTTTATTCTCTAACACACACCTTCATGCGAAAGCTTATTGGGATTGAAGTGTGGACAAGCACGGGCCCACCTATACGTTGTGCTGAAATATAATTAACTATAATGGAGGCGACAGGGACCAAACACTCTTAGTCAAACAGGCTGTGTTACCATGTCAGGGAACCATTAAACTGATAGGCCCCAATTAACTTTACGTATGCCAGGAAGAGGAAAGGTCAACAATCAGCTAAGGGGGGGAAATAATTGAACAATTAATCACATGAGGGCAATTATAGCTGGAGGGAATAAGGAGAGTCTTGGGGCATTTATAGCTATGTCAGTTATGAAAAAAGAAGAGTTTTTGGGCATTTATAACTAGGCCAGCTGGGCATTTATAGAGGGAGTCAGTTATGCTATCAGAAGAGTAGAAGAAAGGGCTTTGGGGGATAGGGGGTGGTATGTTTTTCTTCGAGTAAAGAATATTGTGAGTGTTTGGGAGAGCCGGCGGTCTCTCGAAGAACCGACCAACTGTTAATGTTTTCTGCTGAATGAATACTAGTTTCTTTGTTGATGTTCGAGTGTGTGAACGCTGCTGTAAGTCTGTGAACTGCGTGTCAAATTTCTGGGTCGTATCATAAACCTAAAAGCTTAAGCTGTTAGCTGGGGTCCCTGAATAGGTTTTTATTCTCTAAAAAACAGTTAGACACAATTTTACTGCAACAGCAACCAGCAGCTGAAGATCAAGTCAAACTGAACATTGATGGCTCTAATTTGGGTAATCCTGGGTTTTCAGGTATAGGAGGGACTTTCAGAGATGGTTATGGGACTATTCTAGCAAAATATTCAAGACCCATAGGGAATGGAGACTCCACAAGTAGGGGTGTGCAACTTGGGTTGGGTTGGATTGAGCACTTGTTAAATTTTTTAATGCACCCCAGCCCTAACTCAAGTCTAATGTAATTAAAATTCTTTAGCTCAGGCAACCCAACCAAGACCCCTATCCACAAGGCCAACCTTTCAGCACTATTGCATGGTCTAAGGCTGGAAAGTTCACTTAACTTCAAAAATGTGATGCTTGAAGGGGACTCTGAAGTGGTTGTGGACTGCCTAAAAGATAGTAATCAAGGATACTTGGTAATACAGAAACATTATGAGGAAATTAAGAAGCTTGGCAAGGAAAATAGGAACCAACTTTCCATGTGTCCTGAGAGCAGTTAACTTCTTGGATGATGCATTCTCCAAACAAGGAGTCAATTATTTTGGGGACAATTGAAAGAACAAGTACTGTGTAAATCTAAAAATAGGGTTAGGTGGCAGAAGCTGGCCTAAAAGGAGGAATGCTTGGCATTTTTGTAAATAAATAAATAAACGGTGCACATGGAAAGGATGGTGCCCCTAAGGAGGCACCCTATCCTAACAATGATTAGGAAGATCCATACCAACAGCAAGAAATCAAATCCAGACTCCAAAACCTGTTGCTCAATCATCTCACAAATTCCACAACAAAACATTTAATTTTGGAAATGCTTTGGCCAGCAAAAAGGTGAAGTGCAGTACTGACAAGTGAAGGAAGAGTTGTCTGTAAGATTTCTACTTAATTTTTTTTATATGGAATGCACAGTGAGATCTGTGGGTTTAGGTTATCCGTTATCATTCAAAAAGAAAGGAAAAAAAGGATTTTGATGACAACCCTGATATAAGTATTTTGTAGTAGAGAAAATATAGTATCAAGGATCATTGTTTTTCTTTTGTGATAGCAACAAACTTTTTATATATTACCATTTTTTCTATCAAGATTAGCTCATTGCATTCTCCCCCTTTTTTATTTTCCTCCTTTGGATGGTTAGACTACCCAATTTAGTCATGATGCAGACATGCTTAGTTTTTTTAAATAAATATTACAAATAATAGATGAAATATAACTTAAGATTCCAGTAAGGTTTTCCTCATACTGTCACCATAGATGTTGTATTTTGAAGGATGATTGTAAATGATTGCTAAGGATAGAACAACAAAGGTAAGAATGGCAATAAAGACRACAGTAATTATAAGAACAATGACAATAACAATAATAATAGTAGAAATTGTTAACAGACTACCACTAGGGACAGAACAATAACAATAATGATAAAAGAACTGAACCTCCTCCTTCTCGTTGGGGTTTGAGAACAAATAATTCAGGGCTCTCAATGGCATTCTTCACAACACTAGAGTCATCCAAACTCCACAACCCAGCAAAGCATTTACGTAGTTTGGAAATGTCATCCTTGTTCTCAAGGAACCTGCTTACATGACACAAATAACTTAATGGATAAGACACTAAATAAAAGAATCAATTATTTTAGTTATAGATTCTATTAGCTTGTAGCTTAACCAAATTGACTGTTGGATGGTTGGAGTTCCAACATGTTGTATCTAACCTCAATTATAAATTAATAAATTTCCTTTTGCTGATAAAAAAAAAAAGAATTGATAGCTTTATTTCAAAGCTTCAGATTGGTTCATCCTGAGTTTTTAGAGATAATTAAGTGTTATCAGACCTGCAATGGTGATTAGAGTAAAAGGAAAGAGAACAGAGAGAAGAGAAGAGATGGGCAGCCAGCTTGTTCGCAGCCAACCCAAGAACAGGATTTCTATTATGTGTTCAATAATACATAAAAAAACTGATGTGCCCCTGATTAGTGATGGGACACTCAAACAAAAATAAGAAAGCCAATTCAGGCCCACTATAGACACAATTCTAACATATAAAATATAAAGAACAAAAGGCCCACAACATCACTCATTACAACACTCCCCCTCAAAGCTAAGCATAGATGTCCATCATGCCTAGCTTGCCAAGTAAACCATGAAACTTCATTGACAGAAGGCATTTTGTCATAACAGCAGCTATCTGCATCTCTGAAGATGTGTAGGGAATGCACAAACCAAAGACAATTCTCTCTCACAAAATGTTGATCAATCTCAATGTGCTTAATTCTATCATGCTGTATCGGGTGATTAGCAATATTAATTGCAACCATGTTGTCACAGTACAACTTAAGAGGACTATCTACCTTCATTCCCAACTCAGCCAAAAGAGTCCTAAGTGTTTGAAGGGTTAGGATCCATCATATGGATGGCTGAACCATGCTAGATGGCTGGGCGAAATTTCAAAAATTTCCAAATACTTCTGGGAATCGAATTCCCTATGTTATGAAAAACTGTATTTTTCAGGATCAGTCTTGCACTGAACCGGACCAGATTTGAAACCAAACAAAGAGGGAGATTTGTACCTGATATGGATAGCACAAATGCAGATCCCAAGGTGAAAGTTAACGCCCAAATCAGTCCTAAAACCAGCCTCCACTGAAGTTGATTCAGCAACACAGTTTTCAACAAAACTGAGATCCAACTGCTTGAATCGAATTGAGGATGATGAGCCTGATATCCCCTGAATTTTCTTGCAAAAATCAGAGGAAAAACTGATATATATCAGTCCTAGATAGCTGATGTCGAACTGGAGAAAACTGAGAGATAAAAGGGTGCAGAAAGAACTAGAAACTACAAAAATACGAAGCCGTCTTGGACCGGTTCACCCCCTCCTTTTTTATAATCTCTTATGGAGATATCTCCTAATCTAATTAGGAGATAATCCAAATCTAAATTAGATATGGACTCTAATTAGAGATATACCTTATCTTCTTATAAGATTAGGTGTTCCATACCCAGATTCGCCCCATGGCACATGACAACTTAAGTTGTCATCTGATAGCTTAATTAATCATATTAATTATGGGCCTTAGGCCCATCAGTTATAAGGCTCATGACCCAAGGGTGTAGCATAGCCAACTTAGGCCTGATTTGTATGGCGTGGACCCCACAATGACCTTACATAAGTCCACATGAGCTCGGCCCAGCCTCTGTGAAAAGGCTTGGACGAAATCACTGCTAAACATAGTAAACCCCTGAGCACATCACTATGGGCTCAATATGGACCCAACATTTACACTTAAATGATCCTTGAATTCAGCTATCCTATGAAGATCTAAGGATAATGGACTTAAGTAAGATAAAGCCCATCAAGTAATCAGCTCTGTAATGGTCTCTTACACTTAACCTCTTAGCCCATAATGACCAAACACTGCCCGACAGGGAAGGACCTAGGTGTAATGTCACACTCTCCACTCAGATGGATCCCGGGAAATAAAACATTTTTCATAAAACATTAATATATTTTGCAAAACCAAATCTCAAACACAGTTGAAATCCATTGCCGGAAGTTTAGGTTTCCATCGAAGTGAGTGTAAGCCCTATCATTCACTTTGTCCGACAAAGGGATCAATCCTATCACTATGATCACCCACTCAAATGAATTCTCAACATACCCAGATTTTGACCCTTGATGGATTTCACTAATTGGCATATAAAAGACAGCCCAATCCAACACCTAGTGCAGTACCATAATCAAGTCTAGGGGTTATGTATAACTTTCCAGTTTTACCCATCAATCTCTAAGGTCTAGGGTATAACTAGAAAATGGTCTAGGTTCAGCGATTCATCCAAATACACACTGCATGTGCTTCGGGTCTAACCCTAGCAGTTGAGACAAGCTACCCCAACTTCTTTGGTAGCACATCAATGTCAGCCTTAGCAAGATAAACTCCCTAAGTCTATCCAATGACTAAGAACATTCTAAACTAACACGAGTCTCATAAGTGTCTAGTTCAAGGAGTAATTACACAGAAACATGCCAATATCAACATGAAACAATAATGTGCTTTTATTCATTTACAATAAATGTATCTGTATATCAATCTGATTGGAGCTAGGGGCATACACTGTCTAACACTAAGCCACAATAGTCCTGCAATGTGCCAATACCATGATCCATGGCTTATATTTAGCTTATGCACTTGATCTAGCAACAATATTTTGCTTTTACTCACCCAAGTAACCAGGTTCCCCTAACAACTGTACAATATCCAAACGTATACTTTCTGTCCCCAATCGATCCTGTCCAATCAACATCAATATATGCTTCTATCTCAAGTTTTTTTTCTTTGACAAATGAGAATAGATTTTATTAATTCTTAAGCTATAGGCATTACAAGCATCCCTTAGAGAGGCACGAGATGCTACCTCTCTATAAACAAAAGTAGAACATAAACTATTACAAAAATATTACAGGTGAGCCCAAAACAAAGATTGTCTATTATCCCCTTGTTTGGCAAGGGTATCAGCTAACCCATTAGTCAATCTCCTCACCCATTCTATCCTCAAGTTCATAACCTTGGTGATCCATAAAAACTTTTTTATCTCATCCGTGTAAAACCATATTACAGAATTTGGATCATTTAACCAACCCACCAGTTTTGAGTCCCCTTCAATTACCAAATTGGTTATATTCAATTCATTAGTAATTTGTGCTCCTTGTAAGGCAGCAAGTAATTCTGCCTTGAGAGAGTCCCCARTCCCCACTAAACGAGAGAACAAGGCTAACAATTTGCCATCCATGTCTCTCATAACCCCTCCTATACCAGCAGGGTWTGGATTCCCCTCACTGCTCCCATCAAAATTCAGCTTCACATAGTTTTCAGGTGGGGGTAGCCATACAATATTTATCCTTTCCCTTCTAGAAGAACTTCTTGCCACTTCTTCCCAAATTCTCCATAGGTCATTAGGAGAAACTTGAGAAAACAAATCCATATTTGTTCCTTGCTTCTCTCCTTCTCAAAGAAGATTCTCATATTCCTCCTGATGGAGGGTGATTTGGCCCGACCTCATAGCACGGGTACACGTGGGTATGACCTTGATCAAGCGATGACTCAGCGTGACAGCACAGCAAGCGCAGCCGCAACTCGGTGGGAAGGGCTAACCGAGTTTAGTCTAGCAACTCGGCGGGTCAGGCTACTCGCCGAGAGACGCCTGGCTTGCGCCTTCCTCCCAAGGCT